TTGGTAACTCAGATAAAAGAAAAATTACTAATTCTCCTATTTGTAAAAGTTCCTGTAAAATGATAACTCAAAATTTAACAAGCCAATAGAAAATGATTATACCGTGTTTCCCCGAAAATAAGACATCCTCTGAAAATAAGACCTACTTACAGGTTTCATTCTGAGTGAAATATAAGGCATCCCCCGAAAATACCGCCCCCCGCCCCCCCAGGCTAAACGAGAGATTTGGTCCACTGATTCTGAAAGAAATGGAGTCACAAGAAATTCACCAGGAAATTCAGGAATTGGATTGTTATGATGATGTTCCAGAAGATGATGACATGATTGTCATTGAATAATGAGTAAATTCTTGGTACTGTAGAATTCACAGTTTGTCTGTTTTGTGTTGAAAACTACCGTGCTACCGTACCATATACAGGTAATAAATTTCCTTTATTTTCATTTAACAATAAATGTGTACCATATTCTTGTTCATGGAAAAATAAGACATCCCCTGAAAATAAGACCTAGCACATCTTTGGGATGGGAGCAAAAATTAATATAAGACACTGTCTTATTTTCGGGGAAACAGGGTAGGTCATAAATTCACAATTTCTCAAAATAAAAATAGCTCTTAAACATGGAAAGAAACCAAAGTAATAATAACAGATATGAAAATTAAAATTACATAGAGTTTTATTTTACTCATTGAAATATAAAAGATCAAAACTTTTGGCAGTGTCCTCTGTAAGAGATGGTGTTATACAATCCACTCTCACACATTTCTGGTGGGAGTGAAGGTTGACCCACCAGGAAGCGCTATTTGCAACATGCATAGCATAAAAACATACCAAGTGTCATACTTTTTTCTTCCTGTAATTCCTCATCTAGGAATTTGTCTCAAAGATATATCTGTACATATCCTAGAGTTATATGTATAACATTAATAAATGTAGGATAATTTGCAAAAAGATATTGGAAACAGCCAAAATGGCCATCAATACTGCATAAATTATGGTCCAGTGGAATACTGTGTAGCTATATACAAACCTGATGTGGAAGGATCTCTAGAATATATTAAGTTAAAAAAAAAAAGAGTACAGAACAATGTATATTTGTATGAGAAGAAATAAAGATACATTCATATGTTTTATATATTCCTTTACAAACAAACATATCTACACATGCTTGTTTAGCATTAAATAATTCTGGAAAGAAATTGAGAAACAACTAATAATTATATTAATCTTTGAGAAGACACAGATGCCTAAAGGCCTAGAAAGGGAATGACAATTTTCAATGTGAGCATCAAAAATATTTTTAAACTGGTTGAATGTATTGCATTTTCAAAAATAAAATTTTAAAGCAAGGAAAATAAATTTGATGATTTAATTTTAAATAAAGATTTAAGAAGAAAAAAAGATAGGAAGTACATGAAAAAAAAAATAAAAAGATGAGAGAGAAAGAGGAAGGGAGGGAGAAAGAAAGGGGGGAGGAAGAAAGATACAGAGCTAGAGATAGAAAGATAGAGAAGGGGAGCTATGGGGGGGAGGAGTAGGCAAGAGATACAGAGATAGAGAGATAGAGATAGAAATGGAGTGGGGAAGGGATGGGGAGCAGCAAGGAGAAGAAGGAGAGAGAGAGAGAGAGAGAGAGAGAGAGAGAGAGAGAGAGAGAGAGAGAGAGAGAAGAAGAAGAAGAAGAAGAAGAAGAAGAAGAAGAAGAAGAAGAAGAAGAAGAAGAAGAAGAAGGGAAGAGAAGAGAAGGAGGGTGGAGCCAGAGCCTAAGAGGTGAGGAAGTAAAGATAACCAAGTATAGAAAACTCATTTAAGGAGATTTGCTGTGAAGAAAAGGAGAAAAACCAAGCTATGGATGGAGCGGAATGTATTTTAAGCCAGGAGATAAAATAACATGTAAGTATAGTGTTGGGATGATCCAGTAGAGAAGGGATTATTCAAGATTCAGGTGGGAGAAGTAATAATTGGGTAAGTGTGTCTGTGGAGGAGAGGGGTAGGGAACCTGCATGTAGGTGGAAAGGATGGTTTAGGGTAGGAGCATGCAGAGCTCTTTTCTGACCTGAGGAAAGGCAGGGAATTGAGCTCAGAGGCAGGTTGCTGGTAGATTTGGTGGGGACATTCTCAGGAGGGCAGCATCTGAGACTGATAAAAGAGTGAGGAGGGGGTTTCAGGAGAGAGATGGAGTGAAGTGTTTCCCTTGGAGATTGAGAGGGTAGTTATGGAAAGGGTACCTGATCGCTCAGCAGAGCTAAGTGGATACTTGTGGTATGTGGACATAAATTGAAAGTGGAACCATTGATTGTGTGTTGTTTTCTAGCTGCATTCAGCTCCCTGGAAACAGTCATGGAGTTAATGGAGAGTTGGATTCAACCAGGGCAAAAGACTTGAACTAACACTTCACCAAAGGAAATATATAGAAGGCAAATAAATACATGAAATACGTTTTGCATCCCTAGCCATTAGGGAAATACAGAATTAAAACCATGATGAGATACTATTACACACACCTTAGAATTGCTAAAATTAAGAATACCCATTCATTCAAGTATTGACAAGGCTTTTGGAAAACTGGATCTCTCATACATTGCTGGTTGGAAAGTAAAATGGTATGGCCATTCTGGAAAACTATGCATTTTCTTAAAATTTTAGAGGTACACTTACCATACAACACAACAATTATTCCTCGCATTTATTTTAGAGAATGGTAAACATACGTTCACATAAAAACCTCTATACAGTGTTCATAGAAATTTTATTTATAATAATAAAATTGGAAACAAACCAAATGTCCTTCCACTTGTGAATAGTAAAACAAAAGGTAATACATCTATACTATAGAATACAACACAGTAATTTAAAAAATGAACAACAAACTATTGATTCATGCAACATCTTGGATGGATCTTGAGGTCATTGTGTTGAATGAAAAAAGTCAAACTCAAAGGCTGAATACTGTATGATTCCATTTATATAACATCTTTGAAATGACAAAATTATAGAGTTGGAGAAAAGATCAGTGGTTGCCAAGAGTTTGGAAGGGGCACAGGTTGGGTGTGTCTACAAAGAGTTGCCCAAGAGGACTCTTCTGTGACAAAAAAAAACAGTTCCAAATCTTGAATATGTTTATGATTACATGAATCTATACATGTGATAAAATGTCCTAGAATTATACACAATAAAAATGTGTGCATGTGAAACTGGGTGAGATATGAGTAAGATGTGTAGTGTAAATAACTGTATTCTACCCAGGTCAATTTTTTGGTTTTGAAAATGTTCTGTATTTGTGTAAAAGATAACCATTGGCAGAGGCTGGGTGACAGGCAGATAGGAACTCTCTGCAGTAATTTTGCAACTTGTTGTTAGTCTATAATTAATCAGATTGAAAAACTTGTTGGATTTACTACCTACATGGATATTGCAGTTACCAAGAATGAGAACAAGGTTTATGCTAGAAAGAAGATTGTAAACTAGGCATGTAGGCCCTGAGATAATATAATAAGCATTCACACAACCACCATTAAATTTAAGTATTTATTAAAAATTTATCATATTTGCTTCTAATATCTCTTTAAAATGAAAAATAAAATTTTGCAGGTATCTAAAGGCCTAACTTTCGCTCACTGATCTCTTCAGAGCATCTGAAATTGATATGCATTATTATCTCACATGTATAACAGGATGTTTAAACAGCTCAGATCTAAATATCAAGATACTATAGATACTATATTTCTAAAGAGATAGGAGATATCATGCTGAATTTAAATATGAGATTTCTGATAATAGGTTACCAACTCTTATGCCATCATCTATATCAAAGCTGTGAGCAATTAGAGTTGAAGTTTTATATGAGGCATAAAACATTGAGTTTAATTTAAAGATAAACCATCTCTCCTGCTCCAATGTGGCCTTTTGCAGGCTAAAAGACTTGTCCAGAAGAGGGTGCATCCTTGTTTCTCCCTTCTCACTTCCTCCAACCCTTGTCCTTGTTCCACCGGCCTGTTGTTTTTAGATGTGGTTTCAGACCCTGTAGGGTTGGACATATCCTAGAGTCATTGTCAGGAGAACAGGACTTTCCTCTTTGGTTTGTCCTGCTTGGGTGACCTTACTGGTGATGTCTGGACTTGACAGTATTGTAGAGTTGACTCTAACTCATTTTGCAAAACTTATGCCAACCTCCGACACTATAAAGCCACAAGAGACATGGCTCATTACTCACTGCACTTTAGCCAATGATCCATTAAAAAACTTTTTTTAAAAAATTGATTTCAGAGAGAGGAAAAGAGAGGGAGAGAGAAATAGAAACATCAGTGATGAGAGAAAATCATTGATTGGCTGTCTCTTGCATGTTCTCCACTGAGGACTGAGACTCCAACCTGAGCATGTGCCCTGACCAGGAATTAAACTGTGTCCTCCTGGTTCATAGGTCAACACCCAACTACTGAGCTACATGGGCCAGGCTGATCCTTCTTAAAAGGGATCTAGCAACTGTGACCATATATTTGGGGTGTCAAAGGGAATGAAACTTGTTTGCACACTGGTCACCATTTTCTAAACAACTTTTGTACTTTTATTAGCAATAACACAATAAATGCCATTTCTATTTGTCCAGTTCTTGTTTATCTTTTCTTGCCTGTCTTAAAAGGTTAGTGTGGCTGGCTCATGTGACAGAGGGTACTTACTAGGTAAATTATAGTTATCAGTTCAAAGGCCAAGCATTTCAAGAAGCCTTTCCTGATCCACCTGCAAAGAAAAGCATTCAATAAAGAAATTCAGAGGACAATTACATGAGAAATTTATTGGTAATGTCAGGAACGGTGGTGAGGCATAACTTTCAGATTAATGAGAAAAAGTAGAGCAGCCAGATTAAAAACAACCCATTTGAAGAGACTAGAGGATCACCAAAGCATTCTGAGGCTGAGGCTGAGAGAAGACTAGATACTTTCCAAGCCTGGCAAGGCAGCAGTGAGTCTCAAAGTTACTTCATTCTGAACAGAAAAGAGGCTTTCATCCCTGTACCAGACTGCTTCCCGTCATGTCCAGGGTTTCCCCAGGAAGGCTTTCACCAGGTTCATCCACCTCAGGAGTGTCCTGAAGAGCCCTCTGAAGAATGAGCCTCAGGGTGTGTCTCTGCTTCCACCATCGCTGCCTGAAGGAGCCAACGAAGAAGTAAATGATGGGGTTGGCACAGCTGTTGATACAGGACATGAGTATTGCAATCAGGTAAAGACAGAAGACCGTCTTTGAATCACTTCGAAACCAGAATAAGAGGAACCAGATGATGCCGAAGGGCAGGCCACAGAGGAGGAAGACCAGCACTGTGAGCACGATGGTCATATAGAGCCTGGTTAGTGGCACTCGGTGGGAGCCACACAACAGTCTGGTCATCAGGGCCAGACTGGACCCAGAAAGCAGCACAAATAACAAAATCAGCCACGCCACAGTGATGAAATCCAACACTGGACACCAAACTTCATGCATATTGCTAATCAGGAAGCCACAGTAGTACCCTTCCAGCATGCTCAGCAGCAGGGACAGGGCCCAGAGCAGGGCACACAGGGCAGGGGACAGGTGTCTGGGGCGGCGGCAGCGGTGCCAGATGGGCCACAAGACAGACATGCAGCGCTCCGTGCTGATGGTGCTGAGAAAGCCTAGGCCTGAGATGTAGGCAAAGACTGACACAGCAAAGACAAAGCCGCCCATTACTGTACTGTCAAAACTCAAGTCAAAAAGTAAACCTAGGGCACGTATAAATAGACAGCAGAGTAAGAGGAAATCGGCCCCCGCCAGGTTGAAGATGTAGACAGAGAAGGCGTTCCCGCGCATGCGGGAGCCCAGGAGCCAGAGCAACATCGCGTTCCCTGCCAGCCCCACCAGGGCCACGATGACTGTCAGTATTTGCAGAATTATGATCTCTGTATAATGTTGATGAACGGCCTGAACACTTCCATATGTTGTTGTGAGATTGGTCTCCCAGGCTGTGACAGTCATATTCATGTTCAGAAACGCTGCAGTTGTAGGCCTGGAAACAAAACAAGACTTGAGTACCTGCTCTGTGACCACTGACCAGTATGGCCACCCTGTCTGTGGCGAATGGAGGCTTCCAGAGATTAAGATTCTGCCTGAAACACAGTCTTGGAGTCCTGGAGCCTGAATTTAAACCCAATTCTCTCTGAATCTTACAGCCTGGGCTCATTCTACTGCAACACAGACCCTCCAGGTACAAACTCTCCACTCACCATCTAGCCAATGACATGTGCCCTGGAGGCAGGAGGAGAAGAGTCTGCTCAGGTCCTGTGGAGGACAACAGGGTTCTGAGTTCCTCAGTATTTGTGCTCTGGGAGAGTGGCTTTCATTTGACAGCAGGCTCAGTAACTGTAAGTTGTCTATTCACCAGGGAGAAAGGATGTTATGACTTAGGCTCATGAAGGGAATGAGACCCCTTGTTAGGACAGAGTGAGGACACCCAAAGCTCTTGCATTAGAATGTCCCTGTGTGTCATCTTTATGAGGATAGACAGTGATTTTACTTTCCATTGTTGAATCTCCAGGGCCCAAGTCAGTCTGGGAACACAATGGGGCTGTCAATAAAATTGTAATCCACAAATGAATGAAGGAATGAATGAGGAGCCAAAGGGAGGAAGAAAATTTGCATTTAATAAATATAATAGTTTTTTAATGAAGAATTTTAAATGTACTAGTAAAACAAAAGTCAGCACTTTTAACTCTGCCACCAAAAAACACATATGTAACAATAACAAAATTCCATAAGTATTCACTCTGTGATAAGCTCTCGTGTGTTTGAAAGAATATTTTTGTGCCTGTAGACATCTCCTATCCAGGTGGGAGGGGATTCAGGACTGAATTAAACTTCTCTGCATTTTAGAGGAGAAAGAGGCCATTTTGGGAAGGAGAGAGACAGAGGTGGCCAAGGGTGTGAATAGAGGTAGTTGATGCAGAAGTACAGAAGGAGCATTATTAACTGGTTTTCCTATAATATGTGTAATGGGAAACCCACTCATTGTCCCTACATGTGATTTGGAGTAGAGAGTTCCTTGCAGATCAAAGAATTGTGTAAGAGAAATCTCCTGGTGGTTGTGCAGGTATGAAGTGCTTAATTCTATTTTACAAAGGGCTTTGGATGAAAAGAGGGAAGCTCTTGCAGAATTGAGGTGAGATACACAAGCCAACTCACACATAGGTGAAGAGGAGCAGCTGATGAGTGGTTACCCGGTATTACCAGTTTTAATCCCCCAAATAGCCCTATGAGGCCAGCACTATGCTTACTCCCATCTGACTAATAGGAAAAGATGACCACAAGGAGGTTGAATGACATGCTCCAGTTCTTACATGCACAAGTGGAAGAGCCTGGATCTGAACCCACAGGTCTGTGTCAGATCTTCCCCCGTCCCCTGCCCTGCAGTCCCACTACTAGAGTGGTGTGTCCAGTACACATGCAGCTGGTGAGGCGGAAGCAAGTAACTCTCAGGGACATATCTCAAATGGAAGATCATTTGTGTGTTTTATTAAGCTCGAATAGGCAAATTTGTTAAGTAAGAAAGAAGTGAAGCTTATTCAGTGTGGAAGAAGAAGTGGGTGGAATCCAGCTGAGAACAGACCAGAGATTCCAGGAGCTGCTTCTTGCCTCTGGAAACACACAGTCAATTCTTGTCACATATTAGCTCTTTTAATCCAAAGATCACAGGGTGAACAGCAGGTCCTGGTCTCTTGGAGCACAGCCTGAAGCTTTAGCACTGTTCTTTGCCTCATGATGGGATGAGCACCTACCTACACTCTTCATGTGAGCTCAGAACATGAGAGAACTGCAGGGGTGCAGAAAATGGTAATTGGTCTAAATACCCATTTAATTCTCTCTCACATAGTAATTCTGTGAGCTTTAGACTAGAAATTGGATTATAATCCTAGGTTCCATTCCCATGTGATGGCAGCATGTGACCAGGTGGTAGTCACTGGGAGAAAGGCAAAAGTGATGCAACTAATTAGGTTGTGCATTTCCTTCCCCTCTCCTCCTCTGGATGGAATGCTGATGAGTCTGGGAGCCCTGCATGAGAATGAAACCACCTCTCTAGGGCAGGGGAACAGTGATTTGAAAGAGCACAGGTGTCTGGTGCCTTGAAATCACCAGTCAAGTGCTAGTAACCTCTCATACACTACTTTCTAGGGATACCAAAATCATAAATTGAAATTCTTAAGAATATTTGTCTACCACCACCCTGAAAAATAACGTACTTTCCATCCTCAAAGCATTTATGATGAGAGATATTATTTCTAAGATGTGATACCCATGAGGGGGTGCCAACATTTCAAATAAATAAGATGTCAGAATAAGTTGAGGGAAAAAAAGTCCTTGGAAATAGGAACAAGAAGAGGTTATAAGAAAAATGGATTCTCTCTATTTGATGTCAAATTTCCTTTTTTCAGCATCTCTATCCACTGCTGCATCCAGGGAGGACACATCTCTTTGCCTCACCACTGGGCTCCCTTTTCATCTGCCTCCTGATTTCTTTCAGGAAAAGTGACACTGACAGCTGATTATAGGGCAGGAGAAGGATGATTGAGGTTTTACTCCCTGCCTCTCTGCTGTCAGGCTATGAGTTTGCCATGGTGGTGTTACTCTACCTAAGGGGATAGCCCCTGGCTGTGGGCCTTTTTTGGGTAATAGTGAAGACCACTGCTACAGCCACAGCCTCCCCTGAAACTTAACTAACCTTTTACACTTCATGATACTTTAGGTGTCTCATCTTGCTCATCCTTTCTACACATTGTTTTTATTCAATTCTCTTCAACTGCCCTATTTGTTTGTAGCCTTGTGTTTTTGGCTGGTACAGGAAAGGTACCTACATATAACAAACAAACTCATAGAATAGCAAGGTAATGTGTGAAATCTGAGGTTACTAACATCAATTCAGGTTTAAAAGCAATGTATCTGAAGCACATAGGACCTGGGTTCTCACAGCCTAAGCTACCAGCACCCAGAGCTTCCCTAGGGAGCTTCTTGTCTCTGGACTCTCCTTCATGGGTACTCATGGCTCCTTGCATGCTACTCCCCAAGAAGCACTCATGACCATGTGGACTAAGAGAGAGAAAACAAAATTGCCTTTAGAGAAGATAGTTCTGAGCTGACTCTTACCTGAGCACCATCTTCTGGTTGAAGATGTTGAGTAGAAAAAGAAGAGCTTTTGAGCGAGTGCTGAACACCAGAGAATGCTCTTCTACCCCAGATTGGAAGAGTCTGCAGGAGCAGGAGTGGAATCTGATGACCAAGAGGCTTATCAACATGCTGGGCTGCCAATGTGACTTCCTGCACAAGGGGCACTGGCAAGTGACAATCTGTAGATGTGAGACAAGGGCCTCACAAGTTGTTTCACATTTGCCCTGAGTCCAATGTCTTATCTCTTCCTCTCCCCATCTTACCCTAACTGGTTCTCCTACTCTGACAAATGTTTAAACTGGACCCTGTCTCTGCCCACTGTGGGAGTGTGCAGGAAGCCCACCCAATAGGCAATATGAGCTTCCATAACTAAAGTGAGTTTCCTTGGCATTCAATGCACTGCATGATTGAGCTCATGTGATCTGTTTTCATTTATTCCCAGGTGTAATGTATGCATATTATTTATTTCAGAGGACACAAGTGTATCCTATATAATAAAGAAATAATATGCAAATTGCCTATCACTACAACACACAAGATAGCTTCTACATGTGGTCAATGTTGGCTGACCCCATGTGGACACAGGATGGCTGCCACATATGGCCAGTAGGAGAGGGCAGTTGTGAGCAATCAGATCAGCAAGAGAGGTCAGTTAAGGGAATCCCAGGCCTACAGGGAGGGCAGGTGGTGGGTACTAGGCAAGCAGGGGAAAGCAGTTAGGGGTGACCAGGTTGGCAAAGGAGGGCAGTTAGGGGTAACGTGGCCAGCAGGGGAGGACAGTGATGGGTCACCCGGCCAGCAGGGAAGGCAAGTTAGGGACAATCGGGCTGGCAGGGGAGCAGTTAGGCATGGATCAGGCTGGCAGGGGAGTTGTTCGGGGGTGATCAGGCTAGTAGGCAGAAACAATTAGGGGCAATTTGGCACGCAGGCAGGCTAGTGGTTGGGAGTCAGCATTCTTGGATTGTGAGAAGGACTTTCAAATGCTCGTTTAGGCCTGATTCTACAGATATTGCCTAAACCACCAGTTGGACATCCTCCCAGGAGTCCCAGGAGGAAGTGGTGGAGGCTGGGCTGAGGGTCCCCTTTCCTTGTGCACAAATTTCAAGCACCCAACCTCTCTTAGTTTATAATACTGTTTTGTATATTGGAAAGTGGCCAAGTTAGTAAATCTTTAAAGTTTCTCATCACAAAAGAAAAAAAAGTATCTATGTGTGGCAATGGATGTTAACTAGACATAGTGCAATGATTATTTTACAACATATACAAATACTGAATCATTTTGTTAAACACTTGAAACAAATATAATGTTACATGACAAATATATCTCAGTAAAGCCTGGCAAAATCATATTCCAAAAGTATACACACCTAGAGTAAAGGAGCCTCCACTGAGATATTTTCACCCTCAGATGATCATTTATCTGTTATCCCAATACCATGTGTTTCAGGCTGTGAGGAAAGGGCCATTCTTATGGGATTGGCTGTTCCAAGCAAAACTCAGCCTGAAAAGGGAAGCTGCACCCAAGAGGCTCTTTACACAGACCCACAGGGTGTGGAGATGCAGCCACACCCTGCCAGTTTAGTCAGCAAGTATAAAAATCTTTATATCATTAGAAACAGGTCTCTGATCTTCCTATTTTTGGAAGATTTCATAAAAGAGTGGGAGCTGCGTAGGAAGTCCTGTGCTGCCAATTCCATAGGGTGCTCTACACAGCATGTTTATTTTCTCAACTTATGTGGAAGTTTTACACTCTCTGTCTCTTTTCCAGTCCATTAACTTAGCTACTTAACACTTGAGTATAAAATTTAAATAAATGAGTAGTTATA